TTCTTCAGCAGTCCCTCACAGTTGAGGATGATTGTCTTCCATGATTGTCTTATCTGTGGGTCCAAAGATGGCTGACGAGACTAATCCGGGGTTGACAGACTCTGCTGCAACTTGGGCATGTGCTTCCATGTAAGGTGGGTGGCTCCAGATTCTTGTTTTAGTCTGCAACATGCTGTTTCTGGCACTTCTGCTCTTCCATCTCCTGTTATCGTCGTAAGGTTTCAAAGTGCTGAGATCCTTGCAGCGGACTCTCCTCCATGTGTATCCTCCAAGTCTTGAGGTTGGGAATAAGGGGCACTGGTAGGGTGCTAGTCTCCTGTGAGTTGATGTCAATGTTGCCTTTTTTTCCAAGTTGGTCTTGAGGATGTCCTTGAAGTGTTTTCTTTGCCCTCCTCTTGAATGTATGCCTTGCCTGAGCTGGGAGAATAAAACTTGCTTCTGAAGTTGGATCTCTGAATGACGTGGCCAGCCCAGCGAAGTTGATGTTGGATGGTCATTACCTCAATGCTTGTGATATTTGCTTACAAGAGGACACTAATGTTGGTGTGTCTATCTTCCCATTGGATTTGAAGGTTCTTCCACAGGCAGTGTTGATAGTACTTCTGACTTGGTATCTCTTGTACATTATCCACATCTCAGCTCTATACAGCAAGGTGGGGATCACAGCTGCTTGATAAACCATGGGCTTAGTTTCAGATCTGCTGTCACAATCTTCGAACACCTATTTTCTCAAGTGTCCGAAGGTTGCACTTGCAGATTTGAGGTGGTGTTGAATTTCTTCATTTATGCCAGCCTTCTGCTAGAGGTGGTTTGCAAGGTATGGGAAATACTCAACATTCTCCAGAGTCTCACCATGAATCTGAATGACCAGAACTGGGGACTGCTCATTAAGAGCTTGTTAATGGAGGACATTAGTCTTCTGAAGGTTAAGCATCAGTCCCATTTTCTTGTATGCCTTGGCAAAGACAGTGATTGCCTGAAGATGTGCTTCCAAGTGAGCACAGACTATAGCATCATTAGTGTGCTGTAGCTCAATGATTGAGATCAGGGTGGTCTTGGTTTTGGCTTGGAATTGGCTGAGATGAAACAGCTTACTGTCTATTTGGTAGTTTAGCTCCACTCCAACTGGAAGCTTGTTGGTGGTCAGATGTAGCATTGCAGTAAGGAATATTGAGAAGTGTTGCAGCAATGACACAGTCTTGCTTAACTCCTGCTTTAAACCCAAAGATTTACAGGAGTAAATCTGTTACTGAGGACCACCGCTTGCATACTCATGGAACAGGCAAAACATGTGACAAATTTTGGCAGGCACCCATACTTCAGAAGGGTCCTCCGCATTGTTTCTCAGATGACGGAGTTGGACGCTTTCTTGTGGTCAGAGAAGGACATGTGGAGTGGTTTATGTTGTTCTCAGCACTTTTTCTGCAGCTGGCAAGCTGTGAAGATCATGTCAGTTGTGCCTCTTGTTGCTCTAAACCCACACTAAGATTCTAGGAGCAGCTTTTCAGCAAATGGAAGGAGATGATTCAGGAGGCTTCTTGCAATGATTTTTTCTGTGGTGGACAGCAAGGTGATCCCTTTATAATTTTCACAGTTGGACTTGTCTCCTTTCTGGATGATTGTCACAATCATGGTGTCCCTGAGGTCATCTGGGATTTCCTCATCATTACAAATACTTAATGTGAGGGCATGGAACTGTGATGTGAGCTTCTGTCCCCCTGCTTGAAGGTTTCAGCGGTGATTCCATCATCTCCAGTTGCCTTGTTGTTTTTCATTATCTTGATGGCTTTCCTTACCTTATCAAGGGTTGGAGGGGTGTTGCAGGATGGAGGTGAGAGCAATCTCATCAACAACAGAGTCTAAATTAAGAAGGTCTTCAAAATATTCCTTCCAACAGGCATTGAGGGATTCCCTTTCCTTGATCATCAGGTCTTTTATATCCTTAGGTCTCAAGGGGGTTGATACCCGAGTCCTCAGACCATAGATGTCCTAGGTGGCATTGAAAAGACCACATGTATTGTGGATGTCAGTGAGATGTTGAATCTTTTTTGCCTCATCTTCCCGCCATCTGTTCTTCATATTACAGGGTCCTCCTTTGGACCTCTGGCTTGGCTTGTTGGAGATTCAATTTCCTTTGCTTGGTGTTGATGTCATTTTGCCAAGCAGAGAAGGCCTTGTGCTTGCAGGTGATCAACTCTTGGATTTTTCGGTCATTCTCATCAAACTAGCCGTGATGTTTCCTGATAGTGCCTGTCTATTTGCAGGCGCTGATGACAGTGAACTTGAGGGCACTTCAAGTGCTGCTGACACTCTCCTGTTGTAGATTTGGAATTTCACCAGTTTTTTATTGAGGCACTGGTGGAAGAAGTCTTGCTTGATTGAGTCCTTCAACATTGATCTTCTATTGGCATTGCTTCTGCTGCAGCCATCATTTGGGAGCCAGTTTGAGTGACATAACTGAGTGGATGAGTTGGTGATTGACCTATCGGTCGTCAGCTCCTAGCATAACTCAGGTGATATGGACATTTTTGCGATCCCATGCACCAACCATGATGTAGTCAATGAGGTGCCAGTGCTTAGATTGAAGGTGTTAGCATGGGGTCTTGTGCCTGTTTTTCTGGTGGAACAAGGTGTTGGTAATGGTGAGTCTATGTTCCATACATTTGGTCAAGAGGAGGATGTCACTGGAGTTGACCTTTCCTGCTCCTGTGCCTATGGTTATGTTCCAGAGGCTCAGATTCCTTCTGACTGATGTTGAAGTCAGTTATACCTCCTTCTGAAAGGGTAAACAGGAAGGAGAATGCTGGTTTCATGAAGTTGGTTTTGCCATGAAGAATGAACTCAAACCAACTCAACAAGTCCCCTATTGGTGTCAGTGAGCAACTTATGATTTCCCGTCTCAAACTGGCAGGGAGCCAATATGCCACTTTCATCAACACGTATACCCTGACTCTTGACACTGTCTATGAAACCAAGGAGGAATTCTATGCCAACTTTGACCAAGTCCTTCCTGACATTCTGGAGGGAGACAGACTTATTCTTTCTCTGCACATCCTGATTTATCATGGTACCTGGTTCCTAAGTCATGGACCAAGACACTATTATGCAAGATGCTTTAAAAAGGGAGTAAAAAGATGGTCCCAGATGCAAGGAGCTTAGTGTCCATAATGTGAATATTTATCAGCCACTTCTGATGTTGCTCAGTCACAGCAACCTAAGGCTAATTAATCTATTAGTCACTTGTCAGCCCCTGAAGGTTTTGTGTGGTTCATGTCAACGTACAGACATAAGCTTCCTGTGATAGAATTTGGTCCTGATTTAAGTAGTATGTCTGTAAGGTACCATGATTAGCAGGGATCCTGGTTTTCTGTTTAAAAATCACAAATTCTCTGATAAATGTATACATTCTCTGATTAAAAAAACATTTTCCCGCAATTAAAATCAAACACCACTATATAGGTGGTAGTAGGACACAATTTTTTTTTATCATGAAAAATCAGGGCTCCCCCTGCCCCCTTTGCTCACCACATTGTGGTCCAGCTGCAGGTGTCCCTCCCTGCTGCTTTGTAGCACTGAGCAGCCTTGCCCATGCCATTGCCCATCACTCCCAAGGCACTGCCCCCCCCCGCCCTGCCAGTGCCTCTCACTCCTGACCTGCAGCCTCCTGGCCCTACCAGTGTCCCTCACTCTCAACCTACACCCTCCCACAGCCCCCTGCCTCCCCAGGTCTGCTGGAGAAGACCCCCAGCAGCCAGAGCTATGGGACCCAGGGTTGCATCTTGCCTGCTCCCTGACCCATGGATACCAGCCAGAGCTGGGCAGAAGCACCATGTCACTGGCTGCCATTTTCAGGAGGCATTGGGGCAGGCAGGGGGTGCCTCACCTTGGTGGCATGGCTGGCATGGGGCTTCTGATGGCAGCACCACTGGGGCTCTCTGCCCTGCTCTGTTGTCCCACGATTGGTCTTGCCTGGTGGGCCATGGGGAGGGCAGCAGGGTGGGGAGCCCTGAGCCCCACAGCAGGCAGTCTGCATCTTCTTCTTTGCCACGCATAAATCTGAGGGGGCATGTGCCCTGCCCCCCTATGCTCCCTGATGCATTGTCTCTGGTGCCCAACCCCACTCTGGGAGTGCGCACAGTGGCGGGGAGACAGGCCTGCCCCACCAACTCCCCCCCATCCCCGAACAAGCCTCCCATGGCTCCATCCTACTCCCCAGCCAGGCCCCTCGTCTGCACATTCCTGCCCTGGGATCCATGCACTGCCTCAGCTGCCAACCCTTCCCTACTCCCTCCCTCACTGTGGTCAACCGCTGTCTGCCCCCTCGCTCTGCCTCTGTCACCTATGCCCCCTACCCCCACACATCACCTAGGACCCCTTCTTTCCCCCCCATAGACTTATCTGGAAGTAGCTGGGGGAGCTACTTTTCACCCCTGCTTGGCTGTATTGCTAGCCACATGCAGGTGTACACATGCACACATGAATGTGGTGCCCCTTGCGTCCTGCTCTTGTCAGTCCCAAGCAGCCCTTTGCAGGCTGGAACTCTGCCGGCCTGCAAGGAGAAACCTGTGGCTTCTTGCGGGTTTCTCCTTTCTTTAAATGAGAAAATCCACGTTTTTCCATTGCAAAAGGCAAACCTGTTGATAAAATATATATTTTTGTGTTTTTCACTTACAGCCAACACTTCTAAAATTTGTAATTTCTTTTTTTTAATTGTGCTTTTGACAAAAAAATCCATTACAAAGTTTTAAAATAATTTCCACTATTAACAGATGACATTGGAACATGAAAGCTTGCATTAAATCCTGCTTGAACTTGTGTCTAGAAATTGTATAATAGCAATATGCATTTTAAGACTGTTGCTTTCAATAGGTACATCCTGCAGTCAATTTTTTGACAGTGTTGGGGGGGTGGTTCATCATGTATTTGTTATACAATAATACATTTTTGCATGTTTTATATAAAACTGAAACTACAAAGATACTATTTTTGCTGTTTTACAGATATCAAGTACTTGCATTTGCAACAGATGCTGATGAAAGACAGGAGACAGAGCAGCAAAAACATAGTTCTGGAAAAAGACTTGTGGTGAGACCTGTTGGTTTTACAGAAAATATACTATTAAAACATACTATTTAATTTTTATGTAAAACATACTACATACATAAAGCTATACTGTATATATGTAAAAAGAGGAAAGATGTAGTTTCACTAGGAGTGGGCAAGTGGGACACCAGCCCTGGGCACTGACTTAGAGAAAAGGTTTGATGGCTGCTGATGCTGGCAGTCCAGCCACCACTACTGGTCAGGGCACAAAAATGATTTGTTACACTTTTAGAGAGAAGACTAACTGAAAAACTGAGACAGTGTCTGGTCACTAATAACCTAAATTAACTTCCAATACGTTTTATTTGGATTTGGATTAAGCCCTAAATATTTATCATGTTCTGTTTTATAGGATCATAGGAAAAAAGGGACCTCAGGAGGTCACCTAGTCCAGGTCCCTGCTCAAGGCAGGATTATCCCTGATTAAACTAAGTCAAATGTTGGACTAATCTGATCTTGAAAATTTCCAGAGTTGGAGATTCCACAATTTCTCTAGGTAGCCTGTTCCATTGCTTGACCACTTGCACTGTCAGAAAGTTCCTCCTAATCTGCATTTTAAACTTCCTCCCCTGCAGCTTGAGGCCATTATTCCTACCTTTATGAAAGGAGAAATTAACAATGAAAAGGACTAATTTCTTATTAATGTTCATGCATTTCAAAGGTTACGCTGGAATATGATAAACTATTTGAGCAACATTTTAAGTGTGCATTTTTAATTCAAATCCATTTTAACTGCTTTTGTTAGGCTTCTAAAAAATCGCCAAATTACAGTTAGTGTTCCTGTACAGCTTCTTTTTTTCTTATGCTGATAGTGTTTATTAAGATATTTCCCATATAGCTGGTACTCAGACTGCTGAGTGAATTACTCAGTCAGAGGCCTTGGGAAATCAGTGCATCTTGAATAATTTTCAGAGGCTAACAAAACCAGGCTATTTTAAATGGTTTGAGAATTAATTTCAGTCTCTGTTGTCCTGCATTGAGAACTGTTTGGCCAACTAGAATAGTCCATAAAATGTTATCATTGGTCTTTGAAACTGTCATAACTTGAATGTCTTATCAATATATAAATTTGTCAGTACTTTAAAATGCATTTAGAAGCATGTAAGGAGCCAGTGTAACTCTTGTATACAAGTTTATATGTTCTCTCCAATATAGCGTAAATTAAATGGATAGAATTTGAATCTAAAATAGGAAAAAATCATTGAAGCAAATTGCATAGAATGGTAGTATGTCTGTGACAGAATATGTGTTTAAGGGCTTGGACATGTGGCCCAATGAAGTACTTAACTCATTGTTACACTTGTATAAAAATAAGTATGCAGTAATTGTCCCTGGATTTTACTCTGTTAAATTTATTTCACAGTAAGGAGTGAATACGTGACTAGCAATTCCAACTAGAGTCCTATAGTACACACTGTTATAGTACCTAGCCACAAGGTGCCAGGAAATCGTCTTGCACTGAGTAAGAGCTATCCCAGGATAAAATGTATTATGACATAAGCAATATGCTACATGTTAGCTAAGGTTTCATGTGAAGTTACCACATATTTTTGAAGGGGTAACTTTGCCCTGGATTCAAATGATTAACTATGACAAAGTTGGGCTATGGATGTTATGTCTGCTCCACTTTTACTATGTAGTATGGTCATTTGAGTCCAGACCCTAACTTTGTTAATTTAAATTGGTGGAAAATAGTGAAGTAAAATGAAGGAAGATGGGACAGTTGAGAGCCTTTATTAATTTTAGAAACTGCACCTTCCTGTAGGTAGTTTTTGCATATTTGGATTTGTTTGGTTAACATTTGGCATAGGAGCTGAAAAACAAATATTTCCTTTAATATTTTCCTTAAAGGATTTGGGGTTTATTTTTCCTGGTCTCCCCAATTGTGTTGCATGGTTAAGGAATCATGAAAATTCCATGATCATTCCAATCAACCTGAAAATAAACTCTGTATTTATCCAGTGTACAAGACCTTATTGTCTGAAAAACAGAGTTATGAGAGTAAGGTGCATTTTGTGCATCAAAACTCTACAAGAAAAAATTGAAATCTTTTTGACAAAGGTTGACAAATTTAATCAAATTTAATGTTAATACCTTCTCCCACAATGTCATTCTCTTTTTGCGGGATGTCTCTTCACAGGTGCATCTTATAAACTAGAAAATACTGCACTAAATGTGGAAATAATTGTTGCAAATGTTTTACTACTTCCTACTCCCATCCAAAACTTTTCTCCCATTTTATCTTCATCAGCATTTCTGTTAAATTCATTTAAGGTAGACTGAACTGTCGTCATACGCCTTTTGATACTGATATTACTGTGATATGATCCTTAATTTATGCCTTTTTATTCCTTTTGAAGGTGGATTGGGTTTTAAATATTGGAGAGCAAGCACTGGATATACGTGTTGTCTCCTTTAATCAGATGGTTTCCTCTCTTTTTGTGCTTGGTGAGAGAAACTTCTTTTGCCTTAAGGATAATGGGCAAATTCGATTCATGAAAAAACTTGATTACAGTCCAAGTTGCTTCCTTCCTTATTGTTCAGGTTTGTAAAAGAAACATTTAACTCAGAAGCTTTGGCTTTGTTATGCTTAAAGCTAAGATTTTTTTTTTCACTGGGAAAAATACCTTTGTAGCTATATTCTGGATTAATAGAAAAGTTTACATAAAATTCAAAATAGCATCTTCCATTTTTTAATTGAATCATAATTCTTTTTTTTAGCGAATATACAGTGGAAATATTGTTCCTCTCTCCCCCCCCTCCCTTTTTTTTTATTTTCCCAAGAATAAGGTGTGCAGGTTCAAGACAGCCAAGAGCAATAAATTACTCAGGGCTCTTTTGAACTGAGCATACAAGAGCTGGCAGCATACATTGACTAACATTTGTGAACTGATTTTATTTGGTGGCTTATTAGTATAAAGTTTATTTGTCATATTGACTTGGATCAATATTAACAATCTATAGTTATAAATTGGTGCCAAAATTACCTCCCCAGAATATTAAAGAATAAGGTCGCTGTTGCGTGATATAAATTAAATTGTTTTTTTTAAATTTATAAATTTATAAATTAAATTAAAGGTTTATTTTTAAGTTCTGGATAACTTTTAACATTGTATGTTAAGTTCATTTATTTGAATTTTGTAAATAGTATCATAGTAATTTTTATTTATTCTTTACATTTCTGACTTAAAATTACATTTTTATTATCATATTTACTAGAATACAAGATGACCCTGAATGTAAGATGACCCCTCCCCCCCAGTAATTAGATTCCACACAGAAAATTTATGAATTTATTATAATTTTCCATGTTTGGATTCTAATTATTAGAGGATCTTAAATTTGTTTGTCACCCCCCCCCCACTACTGCAGGTGGTAGGGGGAGAGGTGATGAGGGGGGGCATTAATGGGGTAGGCAGTGGGGGGGCATGCGGCAGGTGAGAGGGCAGCTTGGCCCCTGCTGCCTGTTTCCATCCCACTTACTCTCCCCCATTGTGCTTGCCCCCCTCCCCCGCCTACTCAGGCTGCCTCAATTCTTCCCTCCCTCCCTCCCTTCCATATCCGTGCTGCTTCTGCTACCCATGGCCTCAGGTCCCCACCCTCCTTCCTCCTTTCACTGCTTCTCCACCCATCCTCCCTGCTTGCCTTTGCATCGTGCCAGCAGGCTTCGCCCCTGCTGCATCTTGAGACATGGAGTATGACTCCAGCCTGCACCCTAGCAGTGGTGTGAAGCTGGCATTGCTGTTCCAGCCTGGCCCTGCTGCTGTGGCAGGGAGCCAGGCCTGCTGCTATGGGGCTGGCCTAGAACAGCAGTGCCGGCTCCGTGCCACTGCTATGGGGGCTGGGCTGGAGCCACACTCCATGCCCTTGGCTGCATCAGGGACTGAGCCTACCAGTGTGGAGCCAACAGTAGGGAAGAGTAGGGCAGAGATGGAGAGAGAGGGAGAAGTGGCATTGGGGAAGACTGAGACTGGGGGAAGTGTGTCAGGGCGTGCAGAGGCAGTGGTGTGGCAGGGTGCAGGTGGTTGCGAACTCCACCTTCAGTTCCAGCTCCAACCCCAGCCTGGGGCCAGAGCTGTAGCAGCTGCCTGCCTCCCCACTGTCTTGTGCTCGATTTTAAGGCTCGATTTTTATGGGGGCTTTTCCCCCCATGTTAAATGGGAAAAACCTTTATCTTCTAATTCAGTAAATAGGGTAATACAAATATAATAAATAATTCCCAGTGTCTTTCTTATGAATTCATTGAATTTTCAGTTGATTAATTTAATTAACCAGTGTCTGCTTTGTGCCCAGTTTATCCTAGTATGCACATATGGTGATGGAGACAAATCTGAAAATTACTCATGTTTCAAATTACTTAGTATGGCTGGCTAGAACTTTGGAATGTTGTCATATGTTAGAGATGCATAATACATAATGGGAATTAGTGTTCATGATTAATTACATGACTTTGGTTATTGTCAATATAATTTGGTTATTGTCAATATAATTTTCTTTGCTCTGACCTTTTAAAATTTAAATGAAAAAAGAAAACATTTTAATCTATACACAACTATAACAAGTGTGTGTGTGTGTGTGTGTTGTAAACCTCTGAAAGGAGATTCTTGAACAAATCCATCATCTTTAAAATTTGTTTTGTACGTTTCATAGTGACTGAGGGAACAATAAACACTCTGATTGGGAACCATAATAACATGCTGCTTGTTTATCAAGATGTGACATTGAAATGGGCCACTCAGCTTCCTCACACTCCCGTGGCAGTGAAAGTGTGCAGTTTACAGTAAGTAACATCAGAAGAGCTAAACACTTTAGGTTTATTTCCCCCTCGCCTTCCCTCAAAATAATCATATACAGGCAATAGCAAACAATTCTGTAGTATTTAACAAAGAAGGTTATTTGTAGAAGGAACCAGTTCAATTGTTATAGACTGTACGTTATATTTATTGAGCTAGTTAATGCTGTTAAATCTGAAGTAATTTTGTAAAAATAATTGCTCTTAGTTTGGATTTATATTATTGTTCATGAAGATAGAACTTGGCTTGGTATCTGACAAAATAGTTTATTCTGTAAAAGAATGAAAAGTGGCCACTTCAGTCTCCAGGAAGACCTTTCTAGACAAGTTTGAGAGTCTCTATGAGAATTTGTTCTTGCTTATTAGTCTAATTGCAGATACATTCCAGAACCTGTTTTACTGTCTACTCTGCATTTATTATTTTCTAAAGCTGGTACTGAAGTTAATTTGAATTATTCTAACTTTCATGTTCAGCAGGGGAAGAAAATCTGCAAGTAAAATATTAATGGGATAGTGGTGGTTAAGGAAAGAGACTAAAAAAAATCAACAGGATAGAATCTGACCCTGTGGTTAGTGCTGGACCTTGTCACTGGACCTTTGTCACAGTTGGCAGAATCTGAGAAAATGAGGCTAGTGATGTCTGTTAAATGTGATGCACTTGAAAAATTTAACTCCCTTGACTAATCCAAAATTGACTTCTGAAGTTAGCCTCTGTGGGAACATGTCTTTTATCTGAGTTTTGCTTAAAGACTATTAAAAGATTATTTCTATTTTTTTCTGTTTATCTGATATCTGGAAGCCTTTTGTATTTTGCCTTTGTCTTGCTTTTCCTTACACTAGAACTGCATTTGGAAAAACATGCAGCTCTTTTTATCCTTTCTACAAATTAGGATTTGGGATTAGTATGGACAGCAATCATTGATGTATGTTGCTATCAGTAGACTTGACCACACTCAGATATCCATGAGGTTTTAATATAGAGAGAATGACTAAGTAAGATTATCTGTTTAAATAACAGAAAAAAGCATCGACTGATATATCATTGCTGCAGGATCTGGAGCCATCAACATTTACATTGTGTTGGGTTTTAGAGGACAGTTTTTATTTCTTTTCCTCACAAAGAGCTTGAGACAACAAGAGATAACATATCTACCATAGGGTGAATGGGGAAATAGTGAAACAATATTAGTTAGCATGATATCAGTAAAACAGGACCTAATCATTGTTAACTTGTCTTCGTAGGCATCATGGCAAAGAGGAGTTTTAAGGACCTGAAAGTGGCTGATGTGGCTGTTTATTCCCTTGCTTGAAAAGTATGGGAAAAAGCACAAGAGTGCATCTTTGAAAATTTAACCAGTGAACAATGATAGTCTCATTGGAAGCAGAAGTTAATATCTCAATAATAAATTAGAGTTGGATTAAGCCATGAAAGGCCTTGGAAATTAAGACGGATAGTTTGCATTTAATGCAGTGCAGGAAACGGAAGCAATGGAAAGAGAAAAAACAGGAACAATGACAATTGAGGCAGGAACAGTAATAACTGCTTCATCAAGGAGGTTCTAAGCTTCACTTTTAATCTTTATAGTCTGTGTCCAAGATGAAGACTTTAGAGTTTTCAGAGAATTCCAGTTACTTAAATAACTTGCTTTTTTGACTCATTTTTCTCTTCCCTCCTTTTAATCATAATGATTTCATATTTTTTTCATAATAATGTAAAAGATAGTATTTCTTTATCATGGTAGGCATATACAAATAATGTATAATTGCCACAGAAACAAAATACCGTTAAGTACTTACTAGTAAGATATTGGTTTGGCTTATTGATTTCTGTTGTTTAAATTACGTATTTGAAATGGATGCCCCCTTATGACCTCTTATTTCCATTGTAAAATTTGTGCGATCCTAGTTAGTGAAGTCAGTAACATCTCTGATTGGAATCATGAGCTACAAACAATCTGTGGGTTAAAATTTGAGTGTTTTTGTTACTTATTTTTCTTATACTTTGACTCAAGCTTGTAGTACCAGTGGACATTTAATTGCAGTTTAATTCTGATAAATGCTACAGAAATTTGACCTTTGATTACTTATAGGTTTGTTTGGTTGGTTGGTTTTATTTTTGCTCTGCTACACTGTAAGAAATAGTAGTTTCCATGGTAGCCCTTTCACCAAAGGGGAGTCCCCGTGTGCCTGGCAGAAGGTTGCCTAGATTTTTTTGGAGGGTTAAACCCAAAGCAAAAGTCTGGATTAACCAAAACTAGTGTACTTCGGAATGCATATCAGTGTAAATGCATTTTTCCAATGCTGTGCTTAGTTGGGCAGCTTAGCCACTGAAGTGCTGTGTGCTGCTGCTCCAAAAATGAACTGTAAGGAAAAGCATTTTCAGGGAAGCCTAGGCACTTGAAGAAGACAGTTCTCGAGCTTGGTCTGAGTTCATGAAGCAAATGCTCAGGAGCTGTGAGAAACAGCAAACACCTATCTAAATGCCCTGGGCTAGGGGTTAAATTGTGGCCCCCACCCAAACACCTTCCTTGATGTACCTCCCCCCCATTAATCCAACTGTTGCTGCTGCTGGAGCCTCCAGGTTTCTCCCACCTTCTTGCCCCTTGGCATGGGACAGCATGTCCTGGGGCTGTGGGATCCAGGTAGCCCTGCAAGGCAGGGAAGCCTGCATGGTAGCAGTACCTCCATGTGCCTTGTGTGGGAGTGCTTGGGAGACCACATGATAGGAGAATGCTGGGCAAGATGTGTTTTCTTTTCTGACAATCTGAACACTTTTTACTGACAAACCACATTGTTTTACTTGTATGTGTTTTTACTGATATGCTTTACATAATGTAAATGTAGCCCTTTTGCCAGGCCATGGACAAAGTCTAGGTACTAATTTAGTGGTTTGACACCAAGTACAGTAAAAATTTTGGCTGTTGATAAAAATTTTTAGCAGAATATCAGGGGAAAAAAAAGTTTTTGGTTTGGCATCTATGCTTGACTACAGCAATTGTTTTAACACTATACTATCCCACCCAGGGATCCCCCACTCACCCCCACACTCTACCTTGATGGAGGAGCTGTGAGCATGTTACATCTGCACAGCTGAACTTAAAGATATTTTCTGTCGAATGTGCTAATGCCAATGTATGTATAGTTTTACTTTGTTTACACCATACTCTGTACCTACTAGTCTGGCAATACTCTGTTTCACGCTTGTGGCTAGAGTCACTTAGTTATGAATGCTCTGAGACAAACATAACAACTGGGAACAAGGATGAGATTTCATGAATATGGAATACATAAAATTGATGTGAGAAATTTGCTTCAATTGAGTACTTGAAATCTGTTGGAACCCAAAATGTTTACTCAAATTGAAACAATTGGGGCTTATGATAGCATCCTGCAATGTATATACGGTGGCTGAAGCATTTTTTTTAAGTAAATTAATTTCTTCCATGGAAACATGTACCTTCATTACTGAGTTTGATGGGAGGTAAAACATATAGATTACTGCATAGCCTGCTCACTCCAAAAAACCCAGCAAACAGAGCCTTTAAAGAATTAATGAAAATTATCAAAGAGCACTTTGCCCCCAAGCTGTTGATTATGCAGAAAAGTTTGGGTTTCATAAGCGAAATCAATTTGAACTTGTATCTATTTCCACTTTTACAACAGAGTTATGGAAATTGTCGGAACATTGCAATTTTAATGTAGCCCTCAGCGACAGATTTGTGTGTGGGCTACTTAGTGAAGCCATACAAAGGAAGCTCTTAACAGTGGAAGAGCTCACCTTTAAACTTGCTTTTGCTATTAGAATAACTATGAAAACTGCAGCGACGGATGCCATAGATTTGTATGGAGGAGTGCCCGTGGAAATAAGAATGAATGACTTACTTAATATGAGTTCAGTATGCAATTGAAGAGTCAGGGCAGGTGGCAACCTGATGTGTGCTGTTAGTTGGCAAAGGGTCTCACACCCCAGCTATTTGCTTGTTTAATGAATGCTACTGCCAGACTTGTAGTAAAAAAGACAGTGTGCCCTGCTAAGAGAATTAAAAGATGAGAGTAAGGTAAGGTACAGAAAAGGAAATAAAAAAGGTGTATGTAGTAGGGACAGTAGTGACATATATGGTGAGAATGACATAGCTAGTCTGGGTCTATATTATGTGCATGAGGGTGATAACTTACTCATCTCGCTAACATCCCAGGTGACTTGGAAGGCCTTTAAATAGGGCTGGGTATAGGTTCTGCAGTGTCTGTTATCTCACATTCAGAATATGAAAAATCTTTTAAAATATAAAATTAAGGAAGACACCAGTGTTAAAAAACCACACACAAAGAGAAGATTGTGCCAAAGCGGGTAATGTCAGGACAGTAGAATATAATAATAAGTGGCACCTCTTGACTTACATCATTGAAAAAGGGCGATCCACTCTGTGGGGTCATAAATGGTTAAAGAGATTCCCCATGGACTGGAATTGTTTAAAGATGCAGGCACTTTCAAAGGTCCCTGCAGAAACAGTTAAACAACTATTAGAAGGGATATTAAACTAGGCCTCTGTAGTGTTTAAGGATGACTTAGGAACTTTTAAACATATCAAAGCTAGGTTGATGATTGATGAAAATGCACAGGCTAAGTTTCACAATGTTTCGCTGGGTCCTTATAGCCTGCATGCCAAGGTAGATGCTGGACTGGACTAGCTAAAAAGAAGTCATACTTTCAAAAGCAGCCTGGAGTGAGTGGGGCACATCTATAGTGCTAATTGTTTAAAAAAAGGTGGCAAAGGTATGTGGCGACTTTATAAGATACTATAAACCTGTACTGAAAGTTAGTAAGTATTCCCTACCTGAAATTGAAGATATTTTTGTCACATTAGCTGGAGGACAGAGATCTGGCAAAATTGATTTAGCACAGCCTTACTTACAGATGGAAGTAGAATGAGATTCAAAGTCTATCTTACCACAAACGAACAGAGTTATACCAGTATAATAGATTAGTG